TCAGGCCAGCCTGAACTGTTGCATAGCGAGATCCTGTCTCAAAAAAGAGAGAGAGAAAAACACACACACCCAGAGAGGGGCTGGTGGAGGGAAAGAATGAAACATCCTGGAAGGTGGAGCTGAGTATGGTCCAGTCACACAGTAAGTGTTTCTTAGCACCCGCTCTGAGGGGGTCACTTGAGACCTTGGGGCCCACTTTGTGCATTCTGTGCCTGTCCACAGACTTCCCCGGAGCTCCGCCTCCTTAAGGACCGGGACCAGATTTTTGCAGAATCCGACCTTTGCTGTCAATAAGCCTTTACTTATTCCTTCTTCCTTGAAAGTACCCCCTCCCCGCCCCAGGGGAGCGCTGACCACACCCCAAGCAACAATGACCAGAAAAGCAGAGGTACAGGGGCAATCCCTGTACTTTCTTTGCTGATATGCACTGACCCGGAGATGAGGCCACCTGGAAACAGCTATGACCTTGAGATCAGACCTTGATCTGAGAGTTGCAGTTAAGTAAGACCTAGGGAAGCGAAGGACAGGTGCCAAGGCCCACAGCGGGCAGAGGCTGGATGGGGACAAGTGGGAACAGAAGGAGAGAAGCACAGAAGCCCATGAGAGATCTGGTGTTCCTGGTCAGGGAGTTGGCAGGGTGACCAGCAGATGTGGAGGGAGGAGCTGGGGAGGCCAATAAACTCTCCCAGGCCACGCCCCCAGTACAGCCTCTTCCAATCAGATCCCGCCTCCTAGCAGCAAGTCAGCGATAGGCCCCTGATCTAATCACGTTCCAAAGGCCCCACCCCTGAACCCACAAGGCTTGGTGGGACATCTAGATATAAACCATGGATGGCACTTTTATCCCTTGGCCACCACATCATGGCACATTTACCAGGGACCAGCAGGAAGAAGTCCGCACCGGGAGGCATCCAGGATCAGGGGCACAAACACACAGCCGTGCTCAAATCCCACAGCAACTTTAGCCTGGCCCTCAGCCTAGCCTCCACCGTCAGCTTCAGGGTCTTTGCTCATGCCTGTCCCCCACATATGATCAACACTGCAAGACCCAGTAAAGCTTTCCGTTTTCTCTGTAGTCTCCCAGCGAGACGAGTCATTGTCCTTAATCTGAAGTGCAGAAAGCAAGGTTTGGAAGAAACCGATAGATATTCGCAAGGCCCATGCGGCTAAGAAGCTGGGAGCCAGGATTCAAATACACAACTTTGGGTACTGACTCCCTCGCTCACTAGCTTAGTCTCTGTTCTTCAGTTCACTCACCTGGAAAATGAGATCTGCTTGCCAGGCGTGGTGGCACATGCCTGTAATCCCAGCATTCAGGAGGCTGAGGCAGGAGGATCGCTGAGAGTTCGAGACCAGCCTGGGCTACATAGTGAGTTCCAGGTCAGTCTGAACTACGTAGTGAGACCCTGTCTCAAAACAAAACAAAACAAAAGGGCTGGGGATTTAGCTCAGTGGTTCCTCTGCCCGCCTCGCAAGCGCAAGGATACGAGTTCGATCCCTGGTACCAAAAAAAAAAAAAGATATCTGCAGCTGAGTGTGGCATCACACGCCTGTCATCCCTGCACTGAGGTAGGAGGGTGAATGAGTTCCAGGCCAGCCTAGACTACACAGCAAGAGCCTATCTCAGAGCGGGGGCGGGGGAGAACAATACAAAATGGAGGACTGCAGTGTGGCTCAGTGCTTGTCTAGCACATGTGAGGCCCTGGCTTCCATCTCTAGCGCCACAAACAAACAAAACCCAACACCACCACAAGAGCATGTGTTAATGACTGGCACAATGACAGCTGCTGTTGGAGGGTGAGTCACTCAGGTAAGCAAACTTGTTCCATGTCTTGCTTCTGTAATTGCTGCCAGTTTCTTTCTCTGAGACAGGTCCTCGCTGTATAGTTCAGAATGGCCTTGAATTCCCAGCACATGTGCTCACCTGAAATTTTTTTTAATATGTGCTAAATAAATGAAGAATCCCACCTAAATTGTTTCTACATGTTTAATTCCTGCCTTAGCAAAACTGACAAGGCCTTACATGATGTGTCCTTTGTTCTCCTTCCCTTGAATCACATGGTTCTACCCATATCAGTCTTTTTGTTCTTTCAAAGGTCCCACTTCTTCCTGCCTCAGGGCCTTTGCACTTGCTGCCCCTTTTCTTGTCCCCAGATTTTGTAGCTCTCTTCTTTCTTTCTTTTTTTTTGGGGGGGGTGCCAGGGATCAAACTCAGGCCTTTATGCTTTCAAGGCAGGTGGGAGAACCACTGAGCCAAATCCCTGGCCCCTTGTAGCTCTCTTCCTCTTTTGTATTTCCTTTTGGTCTCTGCTCAGAGTCATCAACCCAGGAAGTCTCTACGGACCTGTATAAAACAGCATCCTTGGATACTAACTGTCTGCCACCTTTTTTTTGTTGTTGTTACCAGGGATTGAACTTGTGCCTTGCATTTGTAAGGCAAGCAGCAGAACCACTAAGCTAAATGCCTGGCCCTGCCTTCATTTTTAAAAAAGAAGTATAGGGCTGGGGATTAAGTTCAGTGGCACCATGCCTGCCTTGCAAGTGCAAAGTCCTGGGTTTGATCCCTGGTACCAGAAAAAAAAAAAAAAAAAAAAAAAAAAAAAAAAAAGCAGTGTAATCTCATGGCATTAGGAGTGTCTCTGCTTGTTCCTCTTCTAGAGGTACAGGGTCCAATACAGAGCCACAAGCTACATGGGGCTATCATATCCTCCTTATGTGGCCCATATGAATGGGGGTGGCCCATGAATGTAAAATATATACCAGATTTTTAAAATGGAGCCCAAAGCATAAGGACCCGCATTCAATCCCCAGTACCAAAAACTAAAAAATAAAGAAAAAAGAAAAATGTATTGATAACGTTGAAACAAGATTTTAGGTTAAATATATTATTAAAATTTCACTTTCTTTCACTTTGTGTGTGTGTGTGTGTGTGTGTGTGTGTGTCTGTGTTTCTGTGTGTGTGTGTGTACCAGGGACTGAATTCAGAACCTTGCTCTTGCTAGGCATGCAGAGGCGACACTGAGCTAGATCCCTGGCCAAAATTTCACTTTTTAAATCTGTTTTGTTTCATTTGGTTCTGGGGATTGAACCCAGAGGGTTTGCACTAAGGTACAGCCCCAGCCCTATTTATTTAAATGTTGAGACAGGGTCTTGCTAAGTCACTAAATTGCCCAGGCTGTGCTTGAACTTTAGATCTTCCTGCCTCAGCCTCCTAGAGTGCTAGGATCACAGGGGTGAGCCACCATGACAAACTTTTATGTTTTCAAAAGATATAGCTGCTAGAAAATGTAAAATGACATGCAGTGGGTACTTGGGACCTGTGACTTATTTCTATCCAACATGCAGGACAGGAAGGGCGTGCTTAATGAAGGAACCCAAAGCAGAATGCCACACCTCCTTCCTCTGCTGTTATCTCCCCAGGGATAAAACAAAAACTCCAAACCTTCATTAAGATTCAATGTACACAAGTTATTCATTTTGTGTACAATTAGATTTTTAGTAAATTTATTAAGCTGCAGCATCATGACCATAAAAATTTTAGGACGCTTCCCCGCCGCCTCCCTCAATTCTCCTCAATGGTCGGGTTCAGTTTCCTTCCCCGAGGCAACCCGAAATGTACCCTCAGGTGCCGCAGACCCAGGAATTTCAATATTTTATTTTTGGTGGTACTGGGAATTGAACCCAAGGTCTTCACACTGAGCTTCCAGTACATCTTCAGCTCTTTTATAGTTTTAGGCAAGGTCAGGCCTCATTGCCCAAGCTGGGCTCAAACTTGTGATCCTCCGGCCTCGGCTTCCCAGGCGTACGCTGTAATCTGGGCCGGGTTCAGTTTCTGAGTATTGAATCCCAGTCTCAGAGGCTGGTGGCTCCTGCTGCGCGACCAGTCGGCACAGAAGCCGCTGCGGTGCCCTACGCGACTGGGAGTTTGGTAGAAGGAGGGAGGAACCGGTCGCTCCCAGTGCCCAGCGCTCCCGCGCGCTCGGGGACACCGGGGCGGCTCTCCAGGGGCCACTACCCGGCGCGCTAGGCCCGAAGGGAGCAGGGGGTGCTGGGCACTGCATTCTAACGCTGCCCTCCTGAAACACTGGCCGGCAGCAGACCTCAGCCTCTGGGCGTGGGTCCTAGGGAAAGCCCTTCTCACTCACACCCTTCCCGGGCTTCATCTTTACCCTCGCCCGCCCTCAACCGCCCCCTCCC